ATATATATATATATATATATATATATATATATATATATATATATATACAAACATCCAACTTTTTGGGCAACTATGTACATAAAATCATATTGTTACATCACCAGATCTGTCCTTTTTGTCAATGCACTATCACAGTGTCCCGTTTTTGTTGGTTCTCACCACACAAAAGCAATCGTTCCCTCTGTTTGTGTCAGATCATGGGAGTGCATACGGGTGTGCCTTCTATCCACCTACACACGACGATTTACAGTCACTGTCTGAAGTTAAGATTTTCTGAGGTTTGTTTGCATGACCATTCAAAACGGCCGCCTGTGTAATGAATAGGAAATCCCTGCCAGTTTGCTATGGTATTACACGGATCAGCTTCTTCACAGATCTTAAATTGAACAAGGACACAATGTCATGCATACAACCTAAAATAAATTGATAGTATAAGGCACATAAAACCTATAGGTATGACAAATGGCAGTAAAACACTAATAACAGTCACTTGCATGAAAGAACAAAACCGCATCTTAATACATTCACAGTAAAATTAAGAAAGTGCTTTCACATTTTGGGAAATGGACATTTGAAAATCTTGACATACACACACCTCTCTGTGGCTATCCTGCTGTGCAAAGAAAAGAAAGGATGTTTTAAACCTCTAGCTCTGAGTCACTAATTAAACACACTAAAGATCTTTCAAAAGAGAATTGTTTAAAGGGAACATATCATGCTCTTATTCAGTTCAAAAGTTTTATTCAGTAACAGCACTTTAAAAACTTTCTATGATTAAGTAAAAAAAGAAACATATTTCATTATACCCTATATTAGTCTCTACCTAAAGAAGCCCAAATGTCCCTTTCTTTACCGTGATGTGTTAACTTTCTACGGAGCATAATTTGTAGTCATTTTCTGGCTTTTTAACACAGCTAATTGAGTTTTAAAATAAAATATCTATTTTTGGACTATGGAAAGTAGGAAGGAAAGTATCCTCCACAAAAAACAACCAAATATCTCACACCTGTTAAATTCACCAGAACCCACGTTTGCAAAAGAAACAACTGCATTTGAAATTGACAGGGCCAAACATTCTAAAATCAGTTTCTCTTATAGAAGGAATCTCCTGAATTTCTGATCTAATGGCAATACATCTCTCGCCTTGCCCTGAGCAAGAAAACAAAATGAGCATATTCCCTAGGCGGAACATTTCAGCAACACAGCAGTCTGTGGATGAAAGGGTTGTGTGTCAGTGAGCAGGTGGGGCTACAAGGGACGCCTGGGCTCATTATCATAATATGATGGGCCTCAGAGTCTCAGGATCAGTCTCAAAGCTAAACCTCAGTATTGATAA